ACTGTTCTAGCGCCTGACTTCAGCCACTGGCTTCTTGGGGAAAGACAAAGCAGGAAAGCACCCAGAAAGTGCTGCAATCAGAGATCACACTTTAATGAGTCACATTTGAGTAGTTCTCATTTCCTCTGTAGTGGAAAACCTTCTCTTCCCACTCAGGAGCCTGAGTCTACTTCATTAATGCGGATTCTCATATTAGAGAGGGAAGTGAGCCGCTGAGAGAGGTGACACTGACCAAGGTGACAAATGCAAAGAGAGGTACCCGGAGCTTCCCTGTGGGGCCCTGTAAACTGAGACTGGGGGTACAGGGAGAAGAGGCCTCCTGTTCCCCCAGAAGCATGGCCCAGTAGGCCCTGAGACAGACATAGAATTTCTCAGTTCGTGGTAGAGTTGCAGAGATTTAGCTAGAAAGGAATGAGCCCCCAAAGCAGAGGGATACAGTCTGCTGTGTGGTTTCATGAGGGTAGAGTATTTGAGTTGCACGTAATGAAAAAGTGGCCCTTTTTTCAAGTCTAGGAGAGTCTTTCCTTCAGTTTTTATTCTCTTTCTTTTTTTTTTTTTGTTTGGGGTCACATCTAATGATGCTCAAGGCTTACTCCCGGCTCTGAGCATGAAGACCCTCCTAGCAGGGCTTGGGGGCCCAAATATGGTGTCTGGGAATGAACCCAGGCTGGTTGAGTTCAAGGCAATCACTCTATTTGTGGTACTATTGCCTCTAGCTCCTTATTCTCTCTCTCTCTCTCTCTCTCTCTCTCTGTCTCTGTCTCTGTGTGTGTGTGTGTGTGTCTTGTCTATCCCTCTGTCTGTCTCTGTCTGTCTTGTTTCTCTCTGTGTGTTTTCTCTTTTCTCTGTCTCTATCTGTCTGTGTGTGTCCTCTCTCTCTTTCTCTGTGAGTCTTGTCTCTTTATGTCTCTCTGTCTCTGTTTGTCTGTCTCTATATATACATGGATATACATATATCTTCCCTTGGAATTATTTTTGCTGATTCATTGAACAGGGTTGCACACATGCCTGGCTGGAGATGTATCCCATTTTCAGCAGTGGTGCTTCCTGGGGGTCACACATCACACATCACTCAGCTCTTGCATAGTCAAAGGTGGTGCTCACTAAGGTTTGCTCTCCTTAAACTGTGGTGCTCACTGAGGGCTGCTACAGTTCACTCGGCTCATCAGAGGCTGCATTCCCTGCCCTTAGTGCTTACACGTCTTTTTAGTTGTGGTGTCCTGTGGGATCCATACCCTTTTGTGGTTCTTTAGCAAGCTGGCTATGCTATGCTATACACTGGGATCACAGGCAGCTAAGTGCCAGATTCAAATAGAGCTAGATCCTGGAATCTGCACATGTAGTGCACCAGGATTTTGTACTTATGACCAGATGCTTGCAAAGTGGGTGTTTTAAGACACTGTGTTTGTTGTTCCTCGGGGTTAAATGGTCAAGATGAGATAGAATTTTTTAAAAAAGGGGGGGGGTAAGGCCTAGGAATATGAAAGCTAGAGGTGTGCTTAGTGACACTTCAGAGGACACACAGTAGAAAATTGAGAAATGAGAGGCTTTTGTACACAACCGTGAGCCACCAGCTGCGAAGTAAAAGTTGAGGATTTATTTTGTGCAGTTCAAGAGGTTTGGGGAGGATAAACCCACGGACACATTATTTAAGGCTTGTATTGAGTCAATATGGAAACCAGTGGTTGGCCAGTGAATGGGGGTTAGATTTGATTCCACTGAGCATTTCCAGGAAGAGGAAATTTCCACCTAGGCCACATCGGGGGCAGTGGGGAGACCATGCTGTCTCCACACTGGGTTCTGGAAGCCATCAAAGGCAGGGGCCAGCTAGGAGATGGTGGCCAGAACCTCAGCTGGTGAGGCTCTGGGTATGGGGAAATGGAGCAGGGGAGAGACAAGGGGGCTGAACTGTTGGAAAAAATGACAGGGTGGTGGCATGAGTGGTGAAAGAGAAGAGGTCTTGAGTCCACTGGGTTTTCCTGGAGGTAGATCACACAGATTGGAGAGGAAGAAGCCATCCCACTGGACATCCTGAGATGGATGGAAACCACATCACCAGGCCCCACTTGACAACACTGAGGGTGTAGGGAGGGCGGGCAGGAAAGCCTCTTCTGGTCAGCATATACCTGCAGTCCAGTGGTGCCACACAGCCCTGGTGGCCGGTGCCATTGATAACTTCATTTCTGGGCATCCCATGGGGGAACGTCCTCAGAAAAGAAAGCTATGTGACCCAGCATGGGTCTAGGGACTTGTCCAGAACGACTGTGTCCCTCTGCTGGTCAGGAGGAAGCTGGCCGGCAGCACACACATCAGCGCTTTGTGCCTTGGGGAAAAATCTACTGAGATAAAGACCAGCTCTTGGCAGTGTAGGAAGTTGGTTCCTCCTCATTTTCCTCAGTTCCTCCTCATTCGCCTCAGATCTGGGGCCCAGTACAGCCAAACCAGGAGGCTTCCTGGACTGGGCCTTGTCTCCACTCCTTTATAAGATTCTGATGCTCGGGAGCCACCTGGCCCAGCCCCAAAGGCCCAGCCCACTCCCTGCAGACCCTGGGCTCCTGCTATGGCAACCATGACTGAGTTCCAGGGCTTAATCCCTGGCATTGCATATGGTCCCCTAAGCACAGGTGGATACAGGGGCCCCAAAACATTTTTAAAAATTAAAATTAAAATTATAGAGATAAGGACCAGGAGGTTTACTCCACAGCTTAGAAGCCAGCCTCAAATGCTTGGGGGAAAAGCAGCTCAGATAGAGAAGGGAACACCAAGTAAAGGGTGTTTGGAGGACCTGCTCGGGTTGGGAGATATGTGCCGAATGTAGAATATAGATCGAACACAATGGCCACTCAATGCTTCTATTGCAAACTACAACATCCAAAAGGAAAGAGAGAACAAAAGGGGATGCCCTGCCACAGAGGCAGGGTGGGGAGAGGGGGGTATGGGATGGGGATGCGGGGACGGATACTGGGATCATTGGAGGTGGAGAATGGGTACAGGTGCAGGGATGGGTACTCGATCATTGTATGATTGAAACACAAGCACAAAAGTTTGTAAGTATGTAACTGTACCTCACGGTGATTCACTAATAATAAAAAAATTAAAACCTATACCAAACAGGTTTTTATGTAAGCCATTTGGAGGTAAGATCATTGAAAGGTGTTTAGGTGATGAAAACAGAGTGCCTTGGAATACAATGTACACCTTTTGTAGGAGACCCCAGTTTCCTTACCCCTTCCAGTATGTGAGGACAAAACATGAAGGCAGATGTCTGCAACCCAGACAAACATCTTAACCAGAATCTACCAGGTCTCTGTTCTGATCTTGGGTGTCTAGATTCCAAAACTGTGATAAATAAATTACTGCTGTTAGGGTGTTTGCCTTGCATGCAGCCAGCCCGGCTGAGCCGGGTTCGATTCCTCCACCCCTATCGAAGAGCCTGGCAAGTTACCGAGAGTATCTGCCCACACAGCAAAGTCTGGCAAGCTACCCATGACATATTTGATATGCCAAACACAGTAACAACAAGTCTTACAATGGAGACGTTACTGGGCCCGCTCAAGCAAATTGATGAATAATGTGACGACCATGACCGATTTTTTATTCAGCCACATAGTCTGATATTTTGTTAAAGAAGCATCAATGGTAAAAACTCAAGAAAAAAATTCATGGAAAATAAATATATGTATTATCTGAGTAATATATAAATATACTCATGAATTTTCAATATCCAAGTTCTTTGGCTATCAAAATATTTATATGTTATTAGTGTCATCAAAATTTACTTCACACATGAACTGTTATTACCAAAGTGATAGAAATCAAATTAAAAAAAAATCTAAAACAACTCCTTTGAATTTTTGTCTTAAAAATTCAATCCAAAAAAATAGGTAAAATGCACTTCATAGACACAATTTTCTCCCAAAGGAATGAATGAGTTCAAAGACATGAGTTCTTCCTAATGGTACTGAAGGGAATGCAACTTCATTTTTCTGTGATGATCCCTCCAGATCCCTCCAGAGCTGAATCATCTCATCCAACTCATTAAAAGGAGCCATCTGCTGATTTGAAAACTCACATGCACTCAGAACATGATAGGATGAATTTGAGTCCTTTAGACTCCTTTAGATCTAGAGGGCACTTGAACACCCGCCCAGGTTTTCAGAAGTAAGAGTGCTGGCTGGAAAGGTCAGAAAACAAACTGTCCACAAGGCACATGTGATTTGCTCAAAATGTACCAGCCATCCTATTTTCCTCCAGGATTTCCAGATTTAAATTAATTTGTGATGTTCTGACCCAAGGCACCCTACTATCTTTTAGATAAAACTGTTACCCCTTAAGTTGTGTTACAAGCAAGAGTCTAGTTGAGTCATTGCCCTAACAAACACGCCCAGAAAGGATGAAGATACCCAGTGGGCCCATTTATTTCCCTGCATGTATAAAGGCTGGCACAGGAACTGCAGGAGGAGATTTGAGCTCACGCTACCCAGCTCATAAGGCCACTGAGCCAGTCCCTGCTCTTCCCAAGATCTCTGACCTGAGGATAGAGTCCCCTCCCAGGAAGGAATGACCAGCTGGCATGTGGAATTGTAATATAACAATAGAGAGTTTCTGAGATCCCTTGAATTCTCCAGATGGACCATAGAGTTTCCTCTATGCTACCGAGATGGACTGGGACCCTTTCACTGGCTACAGGATGAGGTCTTGATCACCAGAGAAAGACCAAATATTGTTAGGAGGTTGGGGTTGCAGCCCCATCTTTGGCTTTGGTGAGAAAGGTGAGGAAATTGAGTACAATCCCCAACACACAGCCATGCCTGAAGAAGGAAACTTTCCTAAGATCCTTAAGCTCCAGAATTCGGGGAGACAGCAGGGCAGGGAATATCTTTGATGTCAAGGGCAACAGGAACCTCACCTCTGCCCTGACTCTGACCTCAGCCAAGTCGAGCTGGTATTTGTCTTCCCTCTCCATACCTCAACTGCATGCTCTGTACTCTGCCTTGCAGTTCTTTCCTTACGGGGATGCCTCCAAGTTTGCCCAGCACGCCTTCCGGACCTTTGACAAGAACGGGGATGGCACCATCGACTTCCGAGAGTTTATCTGCGCCCTGTCCATCACTTCCCGAGGCAGCTTCGAGCAGAAGCTCAACTGGGCCTTCAACATGTATGACCTGGATGGTGACGGCAAGATCACCCGAGTGGAGATGCTGGAGATCATTGAGGTGAGGACGAGGGGGTGCTATGGGGTGAGGGGCCCAGGCTGGGGGGAGTGGCCATATCCAGGGAGCGTGATCAGGACTTGGGTGCAGAGCAGGTGTGGAGGGGAGCCCTGAGTCTCGGGGGCTTCTTTCTTCCCTGTCTAGACCCCTTCTGCTCACATGCCCAGCCTTGAATTCTTGGTTGGTGTTTTCTCCAGCACAGTGTGGAGGATGTTGCTCATCTAAGCTGCAGTGCCCAGGGTGAGTGTCAGCCAGCAGGCATTTGAACCAGCCACAAAGACACTACCTTGAAGCTTCTGAAACAAAAGCCTGCAGGGGGTTAAAGAGATAATAGGGTATGCCCTGGGATTGGTCCTTTCTACTTCACATCTTTCTGCACACACTGGTCTAGTCAGTATCCCAGCAGGAATCCTCAGGCCACTGCTGTGGCCTCAGCCTTAGAGCTTCTACTGCACACCTGGTTCTGGAACCTTTGGTCCTGCGTCAGGGCCTTCACTTCCTGTCCCCATGTCCAGATGCCCTTTCCCTTCTGCTCACTTCATCTGTACTTACACCTCACCTCCCAGTCCACCCATCTTCCAGTTCCCTCACCCCAGGCATGGAACTCCTTGCCAGAAGATTGTGTCAGGGCCCTTCTCACTGCCTTCCATCCCCAAATAGCTCTGTGAGAAGAGGCTTCTGGGGGCCGGAGCAATAGTACAGCGGGTAGGGCGTTTGCCTTGCATGTGGCCGACCCGGGTTCAATTCCTGGCATCCCATATGGTTCCTCAAGCACTGCCAGGAGTAATTCCTGAGTGCAAAGCCAGGAGTAACCCCTGAGCATAGCTGGGTGTGACCCACAAAGTGAGTGGGGGGAAGAAAAGAAGAGCCCAGAACCTAGAACCTAGAACAGCCTGAGGGGCTACTTGAATGGATTTGACTGTTCTTTGTCTTAGTGTGTGTACAGGGCCTGCCTCTGCCTTCATCCCTGGGGAGCATAAGGTACCAGTTCCTGTAGGCCTGTGTCTCTCCCTCAGGCAGGGGTGATGCCCCAACCAGGCTACAAAACCTAAGGTTTGGGAAGACCTGGAGTTCCACCTTGGGGTGACGGCAGGCAGTAGCAGCCCAAACCCAGGGCTCCACATCCTCAGCTGCCACCCATGACTTTCTCCCACCTGCCCAGCAAGGTTTGCTCTGTTCTGCCTGTGCCCCTCAGCCAGCCCTTCACCCCAGCTAGCTTTCCTCAGGCACTTTAAGTCTCTTCTCCTCCTTGACTGGTCTGTTTTCCTACCTTAAACCAGAAAACTGATAGCACTGGGGGAGGCGGGGGGGAGAGGGAATAAGAGGATGTGGGAGGAGTTCTAAGAAATTTTTTAAATTCTATTTTTATTTTCAACATACCCATGATGTATTCAATATGCCAAACACAGTAGCAACAAAGTCTCAAAATGGAGACATTACTGGGCCACTCGAGCAAAATTGGTGAACAACGGGAGGACAGTTTTATTTTCTTATTTATTTTTGCTTTGGGGGCCACACCAGGCCGTGCTCAGGAGTTACTCCTGGCTCTGCACTCAGGAATCACTCCTGGCGGTGCTCCGGGGAGCCTATGGAATGCCGAGGATCAAACCCAGGTCAGCAGCATGCAAAGCAAGCCCCTTCCCCACTATTATTCCATCACTCCGGTCCTGAGTCCTCAGTATTTTACCTGGCCCTACAGGAAAACCTCAGCGCCCTCATGTACAATGAGGAGAAATGAAACTTGGCCATGTGCGGGAGGGTGATGGTGACATGAGACTGAAGTCGGCAGAGCACGAACTTAGTGCATGGACTGTTTTCATGAAAGTCTGCTTTCCTTAGTCTGTCCAGCATCTTTCCTGGAAATATCCACCTCAGCTCTCAGCTTCCATCCCTCCTGCAGACTGGGTTCTCCCTCATGTTTCCCTGTAGTGTGTTTCCTGTCTCTGTCTTTATTTTCACTGGCTTCTGGCCCTTTCCTCCTGTGCCCTTCTACGTTTCCCTGCCCCCAGGTCTCCCCAAACTGGGCCCTGGCTCAGAACCCTCCCAGAGAGATCCTGCCACGATGGCATTCCTGTGCTTCAGGGCCTTCCTGTGTGTTTGGTGACAAATCGATACCCAGCAGTTAACCCCGTGCCAGACCCAGACAATCCATACAACCTACCTCTGTCCTCTACTCCAGCCTCACTGCCCATCCCTGATCCCTTTACCCTTGCACCCACCAGCCTGGACACTTGATTATTCCTCTCCTTCACCTGGAAAGTCCCTCACAGCTGTATGTCCATCAAAATCCTCTCAACCTGTAGGTGAACTAACTTCATCTGAGAAGTCTTGCTGATGCATTGAAGCCCACAGTTCTCCCAAGTCTTCTAAGACTCCTAAAGTCTGTAATCAGTCTTTCTCTAGATGCCAGCATTTTGTAAGGTGACAGAGAGGGTGAAAAGGACCTCACTCACCCAAGGGTCTTCATTCAGATAAGTAAGCAGACAGTGGCCATAGAGAGAGGCAGGTGCTGATATGGGGAGGGGTCAACAGGAGACCAGCAAAGGGCTCTAACCTACTGACCAACCAAGGTGTGTCTGAAGTGAAGCATGAGACACAGATCCAATGAGTTCTAGTGAATCCAACTATATGTAAGTCTTAGTTATGACTTCCTAGGAAAGCACATGCAGTGGCATATCTTATTTTCAGACAAGGCAATGCTGGACATTTGGGTACATGCCATTGATGTTCCATAAGGCACGGGACATCCCCTACAAGGATCAGTAGCTCCATCAGAGTGAGGTGCCAGTTACATTCAGTTTTGAGTCTGCCAGGCCCTCGCCCCAGACTGGTGTTCAATGAGTCTGCATCTGGAACATACTTTTCTGGTTGCCAGGATGATGTGCCAAGCTTCAGGGTTACATCCTGGATACGGTTAATGAGCCTTTGCCATCCTCAGGGCTGTTAATGAAGTCCAGGGTGGACTTCATGTATTTCACATTTCTCATTTCCAGGACTTTCTTTAGTAGGTCCTTGTTCTTACTGGCCACCTTCCATTTATTGTCTCCTTAAAGCCTTTTAAATTTTATCTTTCAAAGGACTGGAGTGAAGGGTCTGGGATTGTGCTTGACTTGCATGCAGCAGACCCAGGTTCATGTAATCCCCAGCATCCCATATGGTCCTTCTAAGCATTGCCAGGAGTGAGTTCTGTGTGTAGAACCAAAAGTATCCCCTGAGCATCACTGGGTGTGGTCCAAAACCCAAACCAGGCCAACAAAGGATGAGGAGGGAGAGCAAAACTTGATGCTGTCTCTGCTTCTCCTTCCTATCCACTCGCACTACTAATAGAGGCACTGTCTACTAATTGTTCTCCAAATGAAATTCATTATCTGCTTTTAAAAAATTCAAATTTTTGTATTTTTTCCCTCCCATCAATAAACATCACCGGTAAGAGTACAGGGAGTAAGGAACATGTCTTGTATGTGATTAACCCCAATTCCAATCTCTGGTACCATATGGTCCCCTGAGAATCACAGGATGCTGAAAGCACTGATAGTCTCCAGCACTGCTGGGTTGGCCCAGGTAATCTCCAGCACCCCTGGACCTGAACAGTATTGAATATTTAGGTGGATGCACTGGTAAGTAATCCCCAGTACCCCAAAACCTGACCATCACGGAATCCTTAGGTCTCACAGTGAACCTAGAGCTGGGTTGGCTGACTATTTCCAGGAGAGGCTCCTGGGCCTTCCTGAGCACTGCTTAGGAGACCAAAATAAATAAAAGCAAAATCCACAATTTAATTTAAAAGATAGCAAATGAAGAATAGTTTAACCTTGATCACTTAATCACTTGATATTCCATTACTCATCAATTTGCTGGAGTGGGCTCCAATAACGTCTCCATTTGTCCGTCACGTGCTTGTATAGCCCAGTGGTGTCTGCTCACTACAGGAACACGAAGAGCCTCAAACCGTTCGTTCAAGGTCTTGACAAAGAAGTCTGACCTAACAGACATTTTACTTTGCCAGGTGAAGCACTTGTTAGTGATCCACTTTCTTTCTTTCACTTGGCTATTTGTTTTAAGGGGGTGAGTTTGGGCCTCATATGGCAGGGCTCAAGGGCTACTTCTGGCGGTGTTTTCAGGGGGTCACTTCTGGTGGTGCCGGAAGACCCCATAATCACATATCGCTCTTGAGGTTGAATGAGACTCAGCTGCAGTTACTAAATAATTAATTAAACAGCCCCCTTCACTCCCATACTATCTCTCTGACCCCTTCTTTCATTAGCATTTTTAAAAACTTGAATTATAACTCACTCAACTTCAACTATCATTCAATGGTTCAAGTAAATTTACCAAAGTTTGCGACCTTGGTCATTATCTGATTGCAGAATACTTTTATTCTTCCCATGAGATTTCTGATGCCTACCTGCCCATTCCCTGAAACGGGAATGAAACAGATATGAATATGAAAACAAAAATGAAACACAACTGCATCCTGAAACTGATTCTTCCTTGTTTCTTTGGACATGTCTCTCTGGACATTTTGTAGAACTGGAATCATATCCTATACTTTAGTGTGTATTTCATATACTTTACTTTGTGTCTGGCTTCTTTGAGAGTAGTAAGATTTATTTACATTGTACCATTTATCAGAATTTTATTCCATGTTTTTGCTAAAATAGTACTAAGTTATATAGATGTGTCTGAGTGACCCTGTTAACTAGCTGATAAGCTCTTGTGTTGCTGCCCCGTTGGATCTATTATTACAATGTTTCTATGAATGTCTTCCTACAAGCTGTTGCATAGATGGGCATTGATTTTTGAAAGCACTTTACTTCTTAAGAGAGAACATTTTATCCACTGAGTAATTTCTCATTTTGAGAGTTAATAATTTACAGTTAATTGAACTGGATAATATGAGTTTCTGATTATATTCCTTAACTTGAAATAGTCCAAAATTCATAGCATTTCCTAAACTCACTGCTTTAGGAGATGAATTTTGCTGGGACACTGCATAATTATCTTAGCATACTGATGGCTCCTTTTGTCTGGAACTACATTTCATTTTCCAACTTAAGTCTCCAAGAACTGATGCTTATTGACTACTATTTACACTTCAAATGCAAGAGGTATAAAACTAAATTCATCATTCCCTCCCTGAACCTGATCTTCATTCACTTTTCTTAATATCACCATTACTCTTTGTATCCACTTCTGTCCGGAAACCTTGGAGTCATCCCATTTTTTTATATCCAATTGGTCATGGAAATAATACATATTTAAAACCATTTAAGGAGTTCTTTGAATAAATTTAAATTATTTATCACATCAGAGGAGAACTGTATGGTCTACTTCTTGTTTTCTCAAGGCTATCTACAAAATGGTGGGCACCGTGATCATGATGAAGATGAATGAGGATGGTCTCACGCCTGAGCAGCGAGTAGACAAGATTTTCAGCAAGATGGATAAGAACAAAGATGACCAGATTACACTGGATGAATTCAAAGAAGCTGCGAAGAGCGACCCTTCTATCGTATTACTTCTGCAGTGCGACATTCAGAAATGAGCTGAGGTCAATACTATGGACTGCACAAAAGTCACTATGTTCCATTCAGTCTGCAGCTACACACACACACACACACACACACACACACACGCACACACACACATGCACACAACACACACATACACATATAAATATTGCTTGGACTACCTTGGACTTGCTTCTTGTGTTTGAAACACTTGTGTGCATGAGAATGTCATTTGCTAATGAATTTTAAAAGCATATATCATAAAACAAACAAACAACCTGCCACAATGTGATATGTGTAATATCATTTCATTAAAAAACAAAACAAGACCCTTCTCCAAAGCCTGGGCAGATATGTGCTGCAAAGAGTTACATGATTTCTTGTTCATGTTTTGCTAATGCTCGTGTCTCCTTGATTCCATATGTTAGTAGCACTGAGACCCCTCACAGTAATGTAACTTAATTATAAGCTATGTCACATTCTCCTGTAAAATAGTACTGGACAGATGCATTAAGAAGCCCTTGGCTTCTCTGTGCTGTCCACACACAAGAGCTTGTATTATCAGTGAATAGAGATGTACTACATTTGCATGCCTTTTAGGTTTGCCTTAATTCTTACCTCATTTGCATCCTACCAATCTGGAAAGAGCTATGTTGGAATTAATGCAGTATAAACCCTAAAACCCTGCTAAATGATTAAGTATATCTATCTATATATACATATATACAAAGATATTATTTATTGAAAAGTGAAAAAAAAGGATGGAAGTATATTGATTTCTGCTTGAATTTTCAAAGGTTTCTAAAGAGGTGGCAAGAGATGTCCCAAATAAATTTATAACATTTGATTTTCCCTCAATTTTTTATTTTATAATTTTAAAATTGAGACAGATGTTTCTATTCATCAAGAGTCAGCAAGTAGCAGTGTAGAAAATCTACCCTTAAACCCACAATTTTGGAATGTGAATAATTACTGACAAGAAAAGGGGGAAAAGTAACATTCCAGTTCTTCATATGGCATGTTAAGTTTAAATAAAACATAAAACTTGTTTATTCTCAAATAATGCTCATTCTATGACAATAAACTTGCTCTTGGTGTGACTGTGGTGTTAGCAATGCCTTATGCTCTACTCAGGAAGGAGGTGGATATGCTCATAGTCTGAGATGGTTTTAGAAGAAACCAGTAGGAATGACAACTCTGACTTTCCAAATCAAAAGTATATACCAGTTGAACTTCTTAATAATCAGGCAAAACTTTGACCCATTCAGCCACAAGGGAAGAAGGCATAAGAGATTCCATTAACAATTCAAAGGAGAGGCTTTCATTTACAGAAATTGCCTGAAAAAGTTCAAGGTGACCAGTGCTGTCCTATAGAAGTTTCTGTGACCACTGAACAGACCACAGCACTAGTTACAGACACAACTTTGAGCTCAGTGATTATTGCGATGTAACTAAGAAATTCAATCTTCTTAAAATTTTGTTTAGGTTTGATTTGCCATATGTAATTAGTAGTAGGTATCAAGACAGTGTGGTGCTATAGTATTCATTTAAGCATTTTTTAATTTAGTTCTGCTTCCAACACCATCCACCCCCTGAAACACACACACAAATACTGTTCTCTATCTTAGAATCATTACCTGAGACCAGAGAACAGAACCTAATGATTCCATTTCTTCATTCAATGAGAAGTGGAACAAGCAAACCTCACTACAAACAAAGGACTCCGATGGTACTTGAAATGGGTAGAATCAAACTTCTGCTCCCAGAGAGAACAGTCGTGAGTGCAGGTGCTGGTACCCTTAATTAACCCCTGTGATTAGTGAGTGCAAAGTGGAGATTGGTAAAAATCTCCTGATGATCTCTCCCCACTAAAGGATGGATGAGGGGGTTGTGAGGAGCTAGAATGGCACTCAGTTAAGTCAGGCACTGGGATGACTCTTCTTATGGTGGGTCCTCATAGGTCATCTACTGTGTACCTGACACTTTATGTGGAGAATAGGGAGACAGACAAAAAACAGATTCCAAAATCTTAAAAACTTTTAAGTAAAGGTAAAGGTAAAAGGTAAAAGGCCCTCCCGTTGATCGTCGATTTGCTCGAGCGGGCCCAGTAACGTCTCCATTGGAGACTTTGTTGTTACTGTGTCTGGCATATCGAATACTCTCGGTAGCTTGCCGGGCTCTCCAAGAGGGGCAGAGGAATCGAACCTGGGTCGGCCATGTTGGCCACTTGTAAGGCGAACGCCCTACCGCTGTGCTATCGTTAAGTACAATAAGAAAAAATATAGCAAACTAAGTGGGGCAGAGAGATGGAATATAGTGATAGATATTTATAGTAGGGATGATTAGGTGATATTTAAAGACCTTGTGAAAAAGGAATTGAGTAACCTGGAGGTCTTCCAGAAAACCCTCCAAATATAATCATTGTTTCATATTAGAGGTAAAATTACTTACTTTACTAGACAAGCAAGTAAAACCTTATTACTTTCGGGGCTGGAGCAATAGCACAGCGGGGAGGGCGTTTGCCTTGCAAGCGGCCGACCCGGGTTCGATTCCCAGCATCCCATATGGTCCCCTGAGCACCGCCAGGGGTGATTCCTGAGTGTAGAGCCAGGAGTAACCCCTGTGCATCGCCAGGTGTGACCCAAAAAGTTAAAAAAAAAACCTTATTACTTTCTTGTTTTAACTTCATTGCAGAAGTATAGTTGGGTATCGGCTGTTGAAGTGTCCATAAGAACCTGTTAGAACAAATGTACCCAAGTCTTCTGACCCAGGTCTCTTCCCATTCTTCCATGTATTACCCTCAAGAAGCCCTAGGAAGGCCACGAGAGGACACACTTTAAGTTATCTGAGACAGGTCTGCTTGTGGCTTGGGAATTGGAGCCAATTCCCAATCTGTAGCACTATAGCACTGTCTTCCTGTTGTTCATCGATTTGCTCAAGCGAGCACCAGTAACATCTCCATTGTGAGACTTGTTACTGTTTTTGGCATATCAAATATGCCCCGGGGAGCTTGCCAGGCTCTGCCGTGTGGGTGATACTCTCGGTAGCTTGCTGGGCTCTCCGAGAGGGATGGAGGAATCGAACCTGGGTCGGCCATGTGCAAGGAAAACACCCTACTCGCTGTGCTGCACTCCAGCCCAATCTAGTGGTTAATTACTAGAGAAATGAGTGTGGAAAACGTGAATGCATCTGATGGCATACTACATGTTGGCTGGAAGAAACAACCTCATGTTCACGTAGCTAAATAGACATTTTCAAAACTGAATGGGAGGGTGGAGAAAATGGGATCTAACATACCGTGCAATATATACTATGAAAATATTATATGTGCAATACATGAAATAAATCATCAAAAAGAACGCCAAGGCCATGTAAATGAAAATAATTGTCACACTAGAACAGTTCCTAGGGGAAAGTTGTTAATGGGAATGGTTCAATTAGTATTGCTCACACAACTCATTCCTAAAATGTCATGACTTACAGTCATTTTATCACTTCTCATGTTTTTTGAGAGTCAGGAGGGTTTCTGAGAAGGGCTGAGCATGATAACCTGGCTGAGGGTCTGACATTGCAGCTGGAGTTGAAACAACCAGGTGCTGACTGGGCACCTTCCGTCACCCAGAGTCTCTGCCTGGCTTGTTCGTGTTTCCTTCACAGTCCTGTGGCCTCAGACTCCAATACCACTCTCAGGGTGCTGAAGCGCTTCAGCACAAACAAATGGGAGTTTCATCTTTGCTGACTTTGTCCCCAAAGACATGAAGTACCACGCCACAGCATTCTGCTAGCTATAAGAAAGTCATAGATCTGTTCATCTTTAAGAAGGGAATCAAACTCCATGCCATGATAGGCTGTGGCTAGGTCCTGGAAGACCAACTGACATGACAGATCCTGTGGCTAGTCTTCGGGAATCTGCATGCCACTGTCCACGGAGTTGCTACAATTCCTATTCCTTAATGGGCCAAATACATTCGCTCCTTCTCAGGAAACCACAGAAATCTCTTCCCTGGAGGGTCAGGCTTGAGGTCTCAGCTCACTGTGGAAAGCCCTGTCTCCCAAAGTGGGTGGCACGGCCTCTTGGGGACTCTGGAATCATGGGCATTAGGGAAAGGCATAAATAGTCTCATGGACCGTTGGGAGATGGTGTATGTTCTCTCTTTCTTTTTTCTTCTGCTTTTTGGGTTACGCACAGGGATTACTCCTGGCTCATGCATTCAGGAATTACTCCTGGCGGTGTGCGGGGGACACTATGGGATGCTGGGAATCGAACCCAGGTTGGCTGCATGCAAAGCAATGCTCTACCCGCTGTGTTATCGCTCAAGCCTTGATGCTGTATGTTCTCTTAAAGAAGGTAGATTTTTTCTTTTCTTGTTTTCTTTGCTTTTCTTTTCCTTTCCTTTTCCTTTCATTCTTCCTACCTTTCTTCTTTTTTTTTTTGTTGGGGGCAATGTACACAATAACCCCGAATATTAAGGGTTATTTATTTTTTTCCTGAAAAGGGGAAAGTAGGCAAATTAAATTTTGGAATCTCTGTTCTAAAGGATTCTCAGATGTGTTTACTCAAGCAGAAGACATGGTATCATTATTATTATTTTTTCATTCAGAGAATCCACGGATAATTATCTGCCTTCTTCCCACTCATGTGACATACAGTAGTGGAAAGGGTGCTGCTGACTGCAGTAGAGAGAAAATTGAAAAAAAAAGGGGGGCATAGAAGGTACATCGCAGTCTCATCCATAACAATCCTGCCATCCAGCCAGGTACATTTCCGGAGTTCCTTAAATAGGGCTCTGTCCTACACGCTGAATTTATTCTCCATGACCCTTGACACTGCCTCTTCATTTCTTGTACTACCCTTGAAGTAAGCAGTTTTTCTCCACAAAAGTAGTTTGTATTTATAGCTGAGTAGTATTATCTGTCGACTGCTTGTCCATAAAATTTTAGGGGTACAAAAGCTTCTTAGGTAGCCTCTTTATGTCTCAGTGTATACAATTATTAAAAAAAATTTATGAGTTTCCTATCAATTTATGAATTTCACTCTGTTCAATTGGGTGAAACAGATAATCCTATTTAATGTAGAGAACCCGAGAATGTGCCCTTAGAAAAAGACATGGGTTGTGTAACTGAAAGCACTGCCTTAGATTAGCTGAGTCCTAACTAAGGGACTAATGGATTTGATTTAATTAGGGAATTGAGGAGGGTTTGGGCCACAATTGCATTAACAACTGTCCTCTGGTCTCCTGCCTTCTACTGCACTTCTTTCCTTTAGCACTTACCAATAGCACCCTTGCAGACCTTTATATTTCTAGATTCTCCTAAAGGTTCTTTGGACTCACGAAGATCATTTGATGAGTCTCAGGATCATTTGAACAAGGCCCACCTGCTTTATTTTTTCTTTTGTTAATCCAGCTTATAAATACTAAACTGCAATTAATGTGATACTTCTAAATCTCATCATTGTGGGCTGGGAATTTGGGGATTCAGGCGGTTGTAACTTAGGCATCTGGGCAGTAGTGTGATGGGGAACATGGGGCTGGAGGAGCTGGGAACTGGTAGTTAAAAGGGTCTTCCTCTTCCTGTAGTTAAAGGGGTTCTCTGGGTGGCTTCTTCCCATATGTGAAGTTTTGTGGTAGGTAAGTCAAGAGTTTTTGCGATGGCAGATGTCCAGTCTGAATATTCCAGAGATGAAAGAAGGGCCTTTCTCACCATTCTTTCCTAATTTAGCTTTGGAAGGTAGTCTTGTCTACTGTATTCTATTGTTCGTAAGATAGAAATACCTGGATTAAAAGGGTGTTAGATTCTGCCATGCAAGGTCCTGGAAGAACACAAGACAGATGTACAGTTGTGGTCATCTTTAGGGAATGCCATGTCACCATGTCACAGGAAATCAATAGAGAGGAAAAGAAAGAAGCGCAGACCAGTGATACTGCGTTGAATGTAGTCCTCTGATCTTGTTTCATCCAAACACATACTTTAGTAACGGAGTTGTCACTGACCTAGGTATCTCAACCAGTCAGCGGCTTTTGGGAAAGAACCAATCACAGGCTTCCTCTGGACATTCAAGTT